ATTGTTGTTTCGCTAGGGGTGGTGCGGGGGGGGTCTTACTGGTCCAGGTTGGCTGCCGCTGGTCGCCTGGGGGAGGGGATGTTTGTTAATAGGGAACATTGATAAGGCCCTCCCCGGAGGGGAGGGAGGGTGTTGGAAGGGAAGCGCTCTAAACCACTCACGCCCTCAAGGGCTAGTAGAATATGTAGTGCTTCGTTTTTTTGTTGTCTGTCTCTCTCTCTCTCTCTCGCTTTCTCATCCTTTTTCTCTCTCCCTCTCCCTTCCTCTCTCTCCCTCTGCGGGTCCCGCCTGGATTCGAGAGGATTAACTTGGGGCGCGCGGAAGGCTTGGTGGATTTTGCAACTAAGTTTTCTTTGTAGGGGCAAGGTGCACATTTATGCTTTTAGTGGAGGGAAATCGGTAGATTTCTTTGCGGCGGTTTTTACGTAGTGATTCTTACGCTGCGGAATTACAAACATATTTTTCTTTTGTAGGGGATTGCACTGTGATTCCTTATACGACAGGAGGAGGAGGGGCGGGCCCTGGTAGATCCATTGGCACCGTTGTCTTGCTATTGCTGTGTTTCTCAGGCCCAGACGAACAGGGCCAGTGGATTCAGGGAGTCATGTTTTTCCCAGGAGCCTTTCCCACAGGTCGGCCTTCCTCCTTTCTGTTTCCCTTCCACCCCCTTCTATGGATTCCTTACTACAGGAATAAATGGGGTCCTTACAAATGAACGTTTTGTGAATTAAGCCGTCGTAACTACCCCTTACAAAAAGGAACCCTCACCCAAGGAATCCTTGTATGAGGAAGTCTTATGACGGATCGCTTCCGCACTAAAGGGAACATGTTGAAGAAAACATTCGCAAGGTGCACGTACTAATTGGAACATTTTTCTGAGTCCCTACAGAAGGCGTTTTGAGTGGGGAATGCTTACCCAAAGGCATCCTTGCAAAGGGACTTGCGCCAAACGCATCTTTACTAACGTATCCTTCATAGAAGTAGCATCCGTATTAAGAAATTCACATTCTCCGATTTAGATCAGTGTTAGCATCCGTATCCTTCATAGAAGTAGCATGCGCATTAGATCCGTATTAGCATCCGCATCCGTTATTCGCATCCGCATCCTTCATAGAAGTAGCATCCGTATTATCCGCACAGACGGGCACCCAGATTAAGGACACCCTCCTACACAGGGATCTTTATTAAGGATCCGACTACTAAATTGAATGATCCGCATTCGGGGTTCATTGCAATTCTGGCGTTTACTTGGGATTCCCCACTCAATAAACGAAACATTGCGAAGGCACCATTAATAAAGGACTCCTTACTGAGGATCCCTTACCAAGGGCGTCCGTACCAAGGGATCTGTTTTAAAGGCGTCCTTATTATGGAGCCTTTACAAGAAGCACCCCTGCTAAGACATACTTGCTAGAGGGTCCTGAGCAAAGACTCCTCACTACAGCTAGCCAAAAGTTCATTGCCCAACGCACCCCTTCCAGCAACGAATGCTTGCGACAAGAATCCTCAATTCGGATTTCTCATTCCAGGGGTCTTTACCGATAGGGATCCTTTTGGATGTCCCGTGGTACAGGTATTATTAAGAAGACCCCTCTTGTCCAATGCATATTTACCGAGGGGGCTTTATTCGAGCAGCTGTTACGGAAGAATCCGGCCTAGAGGGGTTCTGATTGATGTTTTTTTCTTTTTCCTACGGCGCACTCAGGATTCTTCCTTTAAGACGTCCCTCTGACGGTTTCCTACAGGCATCTTTCAC